CAGGTACTCGCGCTCCAAGGAATTTCCTATCAATTAAGGACAGGTTTCCACGGTACGCCGGCGTTGGAGGACGCCTTTTTTACATCCCCTCCTCTTCTACGCTCGCCACGCTGGTCGCCTTATCCGCGTTTTCATTCCTGTTTCTCTCATTTGTACAGTTAGTCGCTTAAACAGTTCCCGGCCATGAATAAAAGCGTCCATCCTCGCGCGGTCATTCTTCTTATTTACATTCCCACGATTGCGCCGCCGCGTAACTTTTACCAGGGTGAATTAATTTACCGTTGTAAAGCTGCTGCTAGACTCGAATCCATCCCGAAACCGTATCCACGGACGTCTCGATTTATGGAAATTGATTTTCCGCAAACGATGCGTTGATCGCGATGTCTGATGCTGATGTGGAAAAAGAATATTTTCTTGGCGTTTTAATGATGGTTGACGTGATATTATATGTTTCTTCGTGGATAAAGCATGGGCAGGATTTTCTCTTCCTTGATTGAATATTATCGGTGAAACTATACTAACTAAAAACTATACTATATATGTGAATCTAGATTCTACTACAAAGTGAATCCAGATTTACTACTTACGATTTACAATATCAGATTCTTCGAGTATTTTGCAATTACATATAAAAAATTATGAATGTTTTATTATTATATATTATATTCAATATTTTCAAATATTACAAAAAAAGAATTTCTTGTGTTTATTTGAATTAATAATACACGATATAAAGTATTAAAATCAAACTTTGAAATTTCGTACCTTAGTCGCAGAAATTTGCGGATTTAGACTATCAGTGATTTGGAGGGAAGAAAAGTTTCTTACACGTATATTTGGCAGAAAGTTTTCAAATTTTATGACTTAATTGTAGATTTATCTAAATTGCCGATTTATGTGTGCCATAGAAATCGGAGGACTGTTTAAATATTAACATCTCCAATACGACATCTCTGATACACGAATTTCCGTGCCTAAGTTTCACTTTCGTACAGAGCACCAAAGATTTCGACAAAGTTGTCCCGTAACGAGAACTTATCGATTTAGCATGTTACTTAAATGCAAGCACTGGTTCATTTATAGCGTTGCAGCAGCGAACGAGCAACAGTTCCCTAACAGCGACTCGCATCTCGATCCATCGAACCCGCGTTACAGGCTGAAAACGCGATAACGCGAGTCGGCGATATGGCGCGGTCGCGAGTAGCGGATTTGCAATTCGGATACGTCGTTATTTTTCGCGGCACAGTTTTACAGCGCAGTCCAGCAGCTGCATTGCTACAATTTAATTATTCGGCCCTTCTCCCCTTCTCCCGATACCCTGCGCGCTCTTTTTTCATCTGGTCCCCCTCTGGTCTGTGAAATCCGCGCGATGGCACGTATAAATTTATTCGAGAGAGCAAAACGTTGCCGAAGGAACGACCGGACAACGATAACGTTTGGTAACGTTTGAAATGTACAAAAAAAAAAAAGAAAAAATAAGAGAGACGGGGTTGAACAGGAGAGAAAAAGAGCAAGAGGTAAAAAAGGGGAGGGGGTATTTACATAGTAACAAGGCGACCGGTGGATAATTTTTTCGAGAAAGGTCGACATCAAAGCGTGGCACCGGTTGATGCGGAGCCACGACGCGACGGTGTTCCAAAAGGGCGTACACACACGCCATTTTATGGCATCCCCCTTCCGCGAGTGAAACGCTTCGTATCTAATTGGCCTTTAATTGGCCGAATGTAAATTATACATTAATGCCCCCTTTAACATTAAGCGGACGGAATAACCGTACGTTTGGCCTGTTGCAGACGACGCAGCGGGAGCTGTGCGGGCTGAATTTTTTGAAAAGCCCTCGTAAATGCCGCGCGCGCAGTTCACTACCTTTTGATAGTTCCCCCGGACGTTCGTTCGCCTCTCTTTTTGATCGTAATTGCGAACCGTCCATCCTCTTAAGATTTACGCTTCCAATTAGCTATACTTTATGGTTATAATGAATTTACATTCGTCTCCGGGTATAAATTAATCATGACCGAGGCTGATTCGAGAGGCGATTGCAGCGGACTTATGTCCACCGTGTATGGCCATTCGTCGCTTACATTCATACGTCTTTCGCATTTTTCTCCTTAATTTCTTCTTCTCCGTTTCTTTCATTTTTATTCCGATTTTTCAGTTGATAGCTGCCTTACGGATTATCCCGTCGATGTGATAAAACGAATGACACATCGCTTACTAGAAAGTAATCGATGATGTAAGATGTAAAAATATTTATTGGATTCTCGGATTATGATAATTAGGTTGCGGGTGTCTCTGCATTTATGGAAAAGTCATAAGGACAACGATGAACAGAATATGCGAAAATATTATAAAATATTCCTTATGGTAGTAATGAGTGAAACTGATCTGCGCAGTATTTCTATAATTACGATCATCATTCTAACGATGATTAACTTTATCCCAGAGGACAGACGATAAGATAGTATGAAACGATATTTATCAAATGCGCAATCACTCAAAAACAAGGATAAGTATCAGCTAAAATCGATAGAGATGACGAACGTGGATCACGTGGAACGAATCGCGAGGGACGACGCTAAATGCCAAGGTCACAAATTTCCACTGTACCACGTTATATCCGTTGGGACGTAAGCCGCGCGCAGAAGAGATGATTCTCGTATTTGGATCCGGTCCAATTCGAAAGAGGATGCGACGTGGTCGTCTAATGTGCTTTTTCGAATAAAGCTACTTACACGAAAGACGGAAATATAAATGGCTGTTATGTATGGACGAGGAGAGAGGAAGGGTCGCGATGCAGAGACGACGCGCCGTTTCCAAGACACTTTGTGTCGCGATTTATACGATGAAAAAATGGATGTTGCGTCACGAGTTTACACGCATCGATTTCATTTAAGACAATAGCACAGGATATCTAAAGTCACTTCGCCTGACTCACGAAATGAATATTTAAATAGTTGTTGTAGAAAACTTTTATAGACATGTACATATATTGTACGTGTTTTATATAAAACGTTTAAAAATTTCACTAACGCTGTTATGAGACGTCAGGATTGTCTTGATCTTGGAAACTGATCTGGATTTGAAGCTGATCTGGAAATTTATATGGACGAGATATCTATGTGAAGATTTTTCTCCTAATATTTTACAAATCATTTCAATTTATAAAAAAGCATTTTTATAAAAAAAAAAGTAGCTAGTTGTTTCGAAAATGAAGAAAAGCGACGGAAGGCGGGGTATCTGGCGAGTCCTATGAGCCGTTGAATCGCTCGATTTCCACGCGATCTTCGTAGAAGACAGAAGATTGAATCGGTCTCGGCGAGGAATCGAAACAAAAAGACACCTTTCAATGGATTATTTGTATCTATAGAAATGAAAGCGACCGGTGAATACGCGAAAGCGGACGATTCAGGCCGTGTTGCGTTAATTATCATGCTAGCGAGTCACGTTTCAATTTTTCCTGCGCTTCCTCAATAGGCTAGGGTTCAAAAGGAAAACGAACGAAGAAAGCGGATTCGACGGGTTGAATTCAGTTTATAATTATCCCGACGATAGGATAATAGCCTTATTGATAACGCTGTGTTACAATCGACGGATCGGCCAATCGTAAATCCAACTGCACGTAATTGCAAACTCCATTTGCGAATTTACATAGCTACACAAATTGCTTTTAAAAAGCCGTATAAAATAATGAAGATAGTTCGACGACTCTTAGCTATCCCGATCGTTAACGTAGATTCGTCTTTACGGCTTCGATGTGGCGCAGGAGTCTGCGGATATTCGCAGCGCATCGAGTGCCAATAAATATCTCTCTCTCTCTCTCTCTCTCTCTCTCTCTCTCTCTCTCTCTCTCTCCCTTTCTTTCAATGGAAGCGAAATCAGCGTGTGGAAAAAAAGCCCGGCACAAAGTGACCGCGTCGATTTTTATTCGCGACGCGTGCACGGGAATTTATTATTGAAATCTCGATGCCGCGGCTCGATGCTGCCACACACTCCGTTTCATCGAGTATCGACCGCGTGGCAAACGCAACAAATCCGGCCAGAAACTATGTAATTCTCCCGCGTTTTGTTTCGTTTCGTTCACGCTCGAAGCTCGTGTCATACATCTTAAATCGATCTGACGTCGATAATAGGAGAAAGACGTTGTTCGAGCTTTAGCTCGTATTAGTCTATACAAAGCTTAATGGCCAGGACTTATGGCCGATTAGCATTTGTTTGGGTTACAGTCGGATGCGGGATAATGATGCAATTAATAATGTCGCGAAACGCAGAGACAAACGTTCTGCCTTGTCTATAGAGTAGTATAGAGTACAGAGGATCTCCTTTGGCCTAACATGCCAGTATTGTACCGATATACACGTGTAGATACGCGTGCTTCTACGTATATATAGAAACACATGGATGAAAGGGATGAAAAGGAACGACGGAGAGAGACATAGAGGAAGAGACGAACACAGCTATATGTATAGGTTTGGGTAGAACGCTTGTGCCGTTGTCGCCCGTTTGCGAGAGCACAAAGTGCATCTCCAGATTTATCGATGGTTATCGATGCACGGTTCGTTTAGCGGTAAGTAGGAAGCTGGCTCTCGCGACACGAACCACTTAAGCGAGATCCGAGAGTTGCATAATGATTGTTTCTTTATGGCCAATTAAATTTCGAACTCGTCGCCTCGTTGCGCTCGTCGTGCCTCTACTGCGCGTTTCGCGCACGGCACCGCTCTCCCGTTCTATGGAACGAAATAATTAATGCCATTTCATAGTCGTTTCTCTGCCTCTAACCCTCTAGCGATCGTTCCAACTCCTTTCGAGACCTCTTCGAAAGATTCGCTTCGATGACGTTTCTTTCTATGTATTATTTTATAACCTCTCGTTTCGGTTCAAATTGAAATGATCGATGTAGGCTTTCGAATATTTTATTAAGGTTCGCGTGTATTTTTAATTTCTGAAAAATTTATTTTCCATTTAAAATGTATTTATAAAAGTTCTTTTTGTTCGTGTTTCAGAGCCGGAAACAGTATCGACGAGCAATCGTTTCGGTAAGTGAAAAAAATGTTTCATATCATTTTAGAATATATTATTTTTATAATCAAAGCAATGATATTTAGAGACTTTTCCCTCGAATATTTCCATATCTCTTGCATTTTGTATATACATATTTGGTAACGTAGAAAAATTGTGAAAAACGTCCTCCAAGAGTAAAACCGAAATCGATAATTCTTTCTAATCCAAATTCATTTAGCCTTCATAAATTAGCATGTTGGAACAACCTTAAGCAACAATATTTCTGTTTCAACGCTAGGAGAACGTCTAGTTGATAAAGAAAATTTATGCGGAAGATAAGGCGGTTCTGTTCTATTTCGCTGCACTCTGGAAACAAGTCAAATCGACCGTTTGATATCGAGTACGTGTTTCGTTCGATACGATCATTGTGAATTATTGTCGGGTGGTGGCACCTTGTCACCAGGACCCTGACTTTCGCTCTTTCACTCTGCGTAGTTATCCTCGGCCTTGAAACGCGCTACGCGACGACCATGAGCGGAACCTCCTCAAGTACAAAATCATGTCATCTTGTTCTTCATCGTTCGCTCTAATTTAACTCGATCGCATCCTTACGATATATAGTAATTTTTAGCTGAAAGAATCTGAAACACATTTTCGAATTTCACACTTACGAATTTCATATGTAAAGATCGTTACATTTATTAATAGATAATGCTCGATTAATCATTTCCTTCATGACCTAGGTAAATTATTACGCCGTGTGCAAGATCAGCAGATATCTTAATATTTATGAACAGTAATATATAACTGATAGCTTGCTTATTTAATAATGACTTGCACAGCCAAGAATAATTTATCATTTATGAAATATTATTGTAATTACAAGAAAGATATTTTTCCTTGTGATTTTCATTCGATTACCAAGCACTGCAGATTTTAGAATTCAGTAAACTTCGGCTCAAATTTCTTCTCTCAATTAGCCACATTTCGTTAAGTGAAGCAAAGCTTTGTCCATTTTCCGTGGGTCGCAATGAATCGTCCGAAAATTTATGCAACAGCCAGCCAGCCACTGCGTGTTTCGTATTATGTTTGCGACACTTCGGAAGCAATAAATTCCACTGATAAGAGTAGAACGAGCAACCTCCTCTTTATTATGAATCGCTAACTTGCACCAGTTATTTTCCACGAAAACGTTATCAGAAACCACCTTAGTGTAGAATTTCTATTTTCCTTGGATGATTTCAATATAACAGTTACATAAAAAGGAAAAAGAAAAGAAGAAAAGATTCGTTATATGCAAACTGCCATGGAGATATATTCCATTATCGCAATTTAGTTCTATATTCGTTTCCGTTGCTCGAATTCGAGCAAAACATAGGGAACGGCGTAAAACGAGTCGCACGATCGAGACGAAAGTGGTCGAAATCTGCAATGCAGATTCGCGAATCGTACCGGTGTCCGATTCCATCCACCAGTTCGTTCCCTTTCGTTCCAGACACCCGGTGCTAATTGCGAAACGCGCGAGATTCGTGGCTGGATTCGCGAGCGAAACAGACTAATGGACGTAAGCGTGCGTTTAAATACCGGAACCGTATAATCTTATGTGTGTATATAGTATATCTTGATATAATACTAGGAACAATCGCTGATCTGAAAGTACAAGTTTTCTTTGTTCTGTTATTCATTACTCGGCTGCTATCGAACACTAAGTAGCAGGAAAAATTACGCGTTTCCGGCGAAGTCGCGTGATAACCTGACGTCATGATTGTTCCTTTGAATATTCCAAAGAAAAGTTCTCTTAAGCAGTGATTATCTCGAGTTAGCGGTACGTGAAATTATCGGCATATGTATATTTATTAACCCTTTGTTTCATGGTATTGCCATAGCCGCGATAGACTTTGATCGACATGTTCTACAAAACAAAAACTGTGTTCAAGATAAATTTCTCATTATAACTTCGAGTTTTGTTCCAGTTTGTAGGATAGAAATCTATTAGATACGCAAAATTTCTCCTTTATACGTTCTATACATTCGGTGTCTTCTTAAAACGTCATTTTAAATTTTACTAATCCTTTCTGTTTGCTGAAATAAAAAGAAGATCAAACTGTGAAGATCGCAGGATTGTAGAGAGATTAAATCCCAAAGTACAAAATACGATCTTCGCAATTTTGCCCTTTTCTTTCCTTTTTTTTTATTTTGCTTCGGAGATATTCGATATTATGCAGAATGCAGATCCACGAACTGCTTAACTTTTATTCCTTCAATTATAATTTCCATTTATTTAGAAATCGTGCGTTAATTAGTTGGACCGTTAAAGTAATTTAACCAATTCAATCGAGAGAAGGGAAAAAGATGGAGGCAAAATAGACGATCGAAGGAAGAAAAATCCTGGAACGATCCGAGAAAGTTAGATGCGGAATTCCTGTATACACGACCGAGCCCCTCGAATCGAGGCTTTCGAATGCCAGCGAGAATCAAGGGGCTATCGACGGTGGGGCTCATTTTCATAAATTATATTAATTCGCCACGCCGGGGGCAACCGGTTGATTGGGTGACACGTACTACGATCATCGGATGCTTCTTGTCTCCTCTTTCTCCCTTTGCCACGACTTTCTTTTATCTTTCTCTTCTGCCTTCTTTGAAAATTCCTCGGTGCCAACGAGGGAACAAGTTTTTATGGGATCATTAAAAACGTGAAATACGGAGTGTCAGCGGTATCGTGATTATTAGAAGTGGTCTAATCGGCATAGAGGCGTTAATTAAGAGCGACGCCCAACCCGAGTAAAATAATCTTAAGAATTTCTCCTGGAAATATGTAAAGTTTTACGTATACGCATGAAACATGCGGAAAATGATATTTCCATGGGAAATTGGAATCGAAGATTATGTAAAGTTGTATGTACAGCGATTCAATGTGTGTATTTACATACATCTCGTGGAAAACTTTTACAGATATGTTATGCGAGTGGAGTAAAATTTGTTGAAATTTCGATGCTATTGGATATGAGATATCGTGATTGTATTAACACATTTACACCAGGGAACGTGAATCAACGTCTTGTATTTTTCAAGCGTTGCCAACGACACACGTGAAACTACGTTTTTTTGTTTCTTCAAGCGCCGTCGCATTTTCCACTTACACACTTACCTTGCAAAATTGTGCGGCGGATGAAAGTACATTGCATGCGGCAGCATACCGATGTCACTGTGTCAATAAACTTTGAAACAAATCTGAAAATGTAAATGGACGATACGAGGACTCTTTTATTTGAATCAAAAGAACGTTCTCCTTGCTATAACAATATCTTTCACTAACTCGCAGTAGTGGTAACTTGGAATAAGGAGAATAAGCGACAAAACTGTAAGATTTCAAGAAAACGTCGCTGTTTTTGTCAACGTTCTAGTACCTTTCGATAGAAAACTAAATTGCAAGAAAATGCTGAGAAATTCTTCGTTTATATTAGGAAATTATTCGGTCAAATAATTTTCAAGTTTGATCCAAAGAAACGTCCTTGTATTTTGATGATATTTTTCCACTAATTTCCAAGTGACGAAACACTATTTAGAAGATTTAAATAAAATATATTTCCCTCTAGAGCAGGTTCGGATAAGGTTCGTTATGGCGAGACCGCGAGTCACAAAATCAAGGAAATAATTACGTTCGAAGTGTGTCCCACCGCGAATCAATTAATCCTTCGTGAAGCCCGGGAACGAACTTGCGAATGAACAAACTACCGCTGATTTTTCGCGTTATTTATCCCGGCCGGAGGGACGATAAAACCGCGCAAATTGAGTTAGCGTTCGCTTTACACGTCGGACAGGCGTCACAACGCCGCCGCGTTACAACGCTCTTACGCCGTCATCTATACATTAAATGGGCAGATCGCGAGACCAAAAACGATTCTACGCGAAAATAACCGCTTTTATCTGAATGCCGTATCGCTTCTGTGATTACCTTGGTGCTGCCGCTCTTTTCCAAATCTGCACGAAAACCATTATGGACTTATTTAAAACCGACCGTGTTTCATCGATCAAAGAGAAGTTATTACGTAACAATTACAGCGAAGCTTATCGTTTTACACGCCTTCTCCTTTGTACAGTTAATCACCAAAGTGAACATTTATCGTAAAAGTGTTTCATAGATATTTTATGTGTTTCATACATTAAACGCTATAATGTAACACAGCTATAGCGATACAGCTTGAAAGAGATACAGTGGAAAAATGTACGTATAATTTATAGAACCATTGCTACAAATATATACTTGATTTTCTGGAACTCGATTTTCTAGAAAATCAACTGTCCAACGCGATTTTGTTATCCTTGATTTTCCTCTTATTTTCAGCCATAGAATTCCCCTGACTTCGTTTGTACCACGAATTTAGACCCACGGTGTATATAACGTCTAGGGTCGAAGCGTTACATCAACGTACTTACGATTCGTAGGGACACGCTTATATACGTCGTATAATGCGGCGCGAGTCGTTCGTCTTTCGAGAGTTCGTCCTCGAGCTCCCTTTCCCCGGTTTTTTCGGCGCGCTTCTGTCGGAGCCGAAGGTGGCTCCGGCGGGGTGCTGGGTGGGAGGCACCGATTTTTATTTCACATCGCGAGAAACCAGTTTGTAAATAATGTAAATCCATAGAAAACGACCATCTGGAATCTCCACGAGCCCCCGCGCGAGTCTTTAAAAGTGGAATGGCTAGTGGGGGATCCACGAATGGATTGGGAGGTGGGGTAACAGGCAGAAACGAAGAAGAAGAAGAAGAAGACGAAGAACTGGCGATCGCCGGCTCTCGCAACTGTGGGAATTCTGCGCGTATGAAACGTTGAATCATTTTTGAGAAGGGATTCGCGGAATCTCCACGTATGATTCGCTTGAATCCTGAGCGCACAGAAAAAGCATCCGGTTTCTACGTCGTTTATGGAACACGAAATTGCTTCGGTTTCGTCACCGGTTTAACTCTTTTCCTGGATACCTTTTGAAATGTTTTTTTTTCAACAACACGCCGCGAAAATTTCAAGCATACATCGTTT